TTTTTTTTTCTGTTCTTTCTATACTCTTCTCTCAACTTCTGTTTCTTTACCTTCCATTATCTACTCCTAAGACTATCTAGAGGGGACCCCTGCAAGCATAGTTTTCCTCTCTCTGTGAAGGGGAGATTTCATGTTGCCCCTTGCCCCTAATGGTTAGGGTATAGGGTTGGGGCCSCCARKGGGGGTCTGGCTAACACAAAGACCGAGACCTGCCAGTAGCTGTGCCTCCCTTTCTCATCGTCCTTTGCACTATGGTCTCATATCGTTTGTTTTTTTAATTTTTGATGAAATTTGCACCGCAATTGCCAACGAAAACGGCGAATATTTGGGCCCCGGTGAAGAGCAGTGGCCATGGCTGCTCTGAGTTGTCTTTTGCACAGGCGGGCAGAGCCCTTAGTAGTCCGCCATAGCCCTGGCATGTGGTGAGAGGAAGTTGAAGGGGAAAGCCATGGCTATGGTGGACTTTTTGTTCTGTTGGCAGTAAGAGGGAACTTCGGATATTGATTCTGGTTCAACCACTCATTGTTATCATTATTATTTGGGAAAAGAATATGATTGGCGAAAACAAGGAGGAGGAAGGTGGAGAGAGAAGGGTAGATTTGCCACTGGTCTTGTCGGTGTACATCTTCTTCTTCTTCTTCTTCTTTCTCTTTCCTTCTTTGGTCTCTACCTCGAGCAAGGCTGAAAACCCGGTAGGACCGGGCCCCCCACCCCCAACGGGAACCTTTACGGTCCACCGGGCCAGCTTCCCCCCGATGGGCCATGGCGCATCGAAGTAGGCGGGTCAGTTGGATTTTTTTTTCGGGCCAGGGGGCCTCCATGGCCTGCGTGGAGGTTGCCTTGCCGGAAAAAAAATTGAACCGGGTCAGGTGGGCCCGCCCAAAGGATTTTAGAAGGGCGACCTATCTGGACCGTCGATCTGGAGAGATCAGCGGCCCAGATAGGCCACCGTTTTCAAATGTTTTGGGCGGGAGTACCGGCCCTACACCGCCCATTTGACCTTCCACACTCGGAACTGCCTGCGCGCCCTCCCCGTCACCTCCAGCCCGTCACTCCTCCAGCCCGTCGCTCCTTCACCCCATTGTGCCACCAGTCATCGTCGCCACCATCCCTAAGAGCCGCTGGTAAGTTAGTATTTTCTTCTTCTTCTTCTTTCTTCTTTCTTCTTCTTCTTCTTCTTCTTCTTCTTCTTTTCTTCTTCTTCTTCTTTCTTCTTTCTTCTTCTTCTTCTTCTTCTTCTTCTTCTTCTTCTTCTTCTTCTTCCTTCCTTCCTTCCTTCCTTCCTTTCTTCTTCTTCTTCTTCTTCTT